AAAGATTTTTATCACGCTCATGCTTCCTGATATCATACAGCTCTTATTTTTCAATCAGGTCTGAGCAGCTTCACTGTCCCACACATAGAAAAGCATGAAAAGCATGATGCTGTCACTGCCATCTGTGATGATATGTTCCCGCTGGTGTGAAGTTATAGTTTTTACCACCTAAAGGGTTTTGCCTGTGGGTCAAACAGTTACTTCCGACTCCTCTGACCAGTGCACCTGCTTTCACCTCCTCTGTTCTCCCGGTGGTTTGTAGCCAACAGAACTTCCAAGAGCTTTCTTACAACAATGGCTTCCTTCTTTTCTAAGAGCAAGCTTTTTCTTCCTCTTTTATATTTTCAAAGCTAGGGATATTGCTTCATACCCCAAAGTTAACTTAAAACTTCTCCACTTTAAATGGAACTATCTGCTGTGTTCCCTGTTCTTCATAATGCTTTTTGTTCAACATATTCACAAACAAACGTTTATAAGACCTTGTAATAAGTAGAATTGTAGATGCAATTATTATGAAATTAAATTACACACATATGGACTTTATTTACTAAAGAGGTGATTTCTGAATCAGTTGGTTGCAATGGATTTAATTCATGAATTTCAGAGCACGTAGACTAACTGCGCATGTATGGAACACCTTTCAGATCATATTAGGACATAAATCACTTAGCCTTGGTTTATAGCTAATAAAAACACACTGCAGTATGTAATTACCCTATAACATGATGTGAAAAGAGGGTCAAAGTAATTTTGAGCAACAATTGCAAAGTGTTTATTTAATCTGTATTTAACAGATTTTCTTAAGCATAAGAATCCCCTGGTGATTATCCCTCTAATAGGCTGGAAGACTGTGAAACCTGAAGTAGCAGTCTCTGCTCTCTTTGTTTGCCTTAGCAGGGGTGGTGGACATGTGTGCAGAGGCTGGGACTCAGGGGCCAGGCCCTCTATCCTTCCTGTTCAGTTACCAGAGGCCTCTCACTTATCAGTTCCAGATCTCACAAGAACAGAGAGAAAGAGAGACCACTGACAGGAAGGTTGTTTTCCCCCTCTGTTTCCTTTAGAGAAGTTAACAGAATATCTGCACCTTCACATTTCACAGAAAAAAGCATTTACTCATTGGGGCTTTGACTGAGGCTACAGAGAGAAAAAAAGACCAGCCATGAAAACCTTTGTATAAAATTAAATCCTGTAAACTGATCATTTGTACATTAATCATGAGATATAGTTTATTATTCAGCTTTTCAAGTGAAATAAAGTTTTTTTTTATACCTATTGTCTAATAATGCCTAGCAAGCAAAGTGGTTTCCAAATAATAATGGAAAACTTCTAAACCTTTCCAGACTTAGATCAGGTTTTCAATCTTATTGGTTTATCATAAAACATCCAATTTTAAAGTCAAATTAGAAAGACATTAGATATGCAATCTAGGGGGGAAAAAAAACAAGTAAAGGAAAGACAGGAAAATAAAACAAAGGATACAAGGACACGGGAGAGAAAGGAAAAGAACGAAGCTAGGATACAAAAAGGAAGGAAAGAAAGGATGCAAAAGGAATACATAAAAAAGTAATACAAGAAACAAACTGTAGAAATGAACAAAGTTATGGTGTAGAATACAAGAAACAAATGAACACAATGTACAAAAGAAGTAGATAAGGAGAGCAGGAGAGAAATCATATCAGGAAGAAGGAAGAAAAGAAAGGAAGGGCATGAAGAAAGGAAACAAGAAATTATACAAATGTTAGTCAACGGAATACAGACTGTAACCTATTTCCACACTTACATCATAAAAACAAATGATGGTCTAGACTTATTTGCAATGTAATTGCTAAGCCATCAACCTTCAATACATTTTTCCAACAATAAAGGCGCCATTGCAAGAAGAAAGGTTTGTTACCAGAACTGACTATGCAGCTTTCAACACCATGTCACTGTTTGTGGCACATCCCAGAAGGATTCTCCTGCTATCACTCTCTACCCTGCCTGACAATTTAACAATAAGCACTTTGGCTTATCCAGCTCAGCAGTGTGACAGGCTGATGTTTGTCAGGGCACCATATTTTATAGCATTCAGGCCCATCTAATCTAGATCAACAATCCTGATATACTGTATTCAGTAAGCCAGTGTGTGCTCGTTGTAGATGCCCTGATTCCTAATGCATACCTGTATTTCAATGTGAGCTACACATTGTATATTACAGTGTCATGATTTAACGGATATTCACAAACCTTATTGGCATGTGAGCATGCTTGTCTTTTATGTTAAACACAAGCACTTTGATACTCAGCGGAGCACCCCAGGAGATCCTGATGAAATCAACATGTTCATCCAGCAGAGCTCACACTGATGAGATAAAACCTGCAGCTACTACATGTTTAACAGAGACATCCCCATATTAGACAGCACAAACAAAGCTGTTTTTTCATGAATTTGATGTTAGGCAAAAATGAAATCAGGTTTTATTGACAGACTAGTGTTTGATTTAATCTGCTAACTTTATTTTTGAAGTATTTCCAGCTACTGTACACAGAGAGCTGGACTGACAAGGACGAGACCACACCTAATTTGAGCACATTCTTGAGAAAGCTTGGAACTGTCATTTTAGGTTAAAAGTTAAATGGGTATTTAGGAGATTGTTGGAATCTTTGCAAAGTTCTTCAACACAAATGACGATGTTTATACTATATGGTGTTTAACTATTGTACAATTAGTGAAATAATCTGTGTGAGGAAATCTATTTAAAGGTACAGTTGATAGGCCATAAAGAGGAGCAGGTTCAGAGTTGAAGGAACAACTGGTAAAAACTTACAAGACTGTTGGTGTTTGTTCTATACCCAACCACCAATCCTACAAGACAATTCCCGTTTAGAGGGTCATACTTGAGTTTAATTTTTTAGATAAGTACTGCTCTATTGCTTTTCATAAAGGAAGTGGTTACAGAACATGTGAAGAATAGGTGAGGGGTTATTTCAGGTTCAATGTTGCAGAAGGAACAATTTGGATTTATTTCAAGATAGTTAGCTATTTCCTCATTTGTAGGATGGGTGTTTTAAAGAATTTGTAAATGAATTTCACGGATTTTATTGTTAATGGGGTATTGATGAGGTGGTGACCATGATTTGCTTCAGTCTATTCTAATAAAAATGGAGTTCCAGTAGAATTTGCTTGTCGGTTGGAGGCATTTGGATTGTTGAAATGTGTTGCACATGTGTTTGTTATTGCATTTGGCACCAAACAAATGCAGTCCATTGAAAAACTATTTGGTGGTGACAGCTGGAGTAAATTATGATCATTTTCAGAATTGTTAGAGTCTGTTGGGGATGCACAGTACTATTGATTTGTATTGCTTGTATCTTATTGAAAACTGATATTTCATCAAAAAGTTGTCGTAGCTAATTATATTACCATGATTAATTTATTAATAATTATGAATTTATTAATTTAGAGATGGTTGTGATACCTTTAATTATTCATGCTGGCTTATAAATGGACTTTCTACATTTTGTTATATATTTATTGTTCAATATTATGCATGTGTTTGATGAAAAGTTATAAGTATGGCAATTTCCATGCAGACTGTGACTCAGGTTGTGTTTAAACATGACATAGGTGAACACATCAATGAAGGGTACAGACTATTTATTACCGCCATCAACTGGGCTGGGATGTAATTTTACAACAAGTGGTGTCCCATTTCTTAGGGAGAACACTTGCAACTCCCTCATTGACTTTACTTCACTGTGATGGGAACTCACTAGAGTGTTCTCAGAACCAAGTGAGAGAAATGGGACTGGGTCTTGAATTCACATACATGCTTGGAATGTATTTATTTTAAATATAGATTTTTTTGCTCCGCGGTAGAAATCACAATAAATAGTCACTTTCTTTCACACATTTACAAGTAGCAAAAAGAAGATTAAAATCTTATTTTGTCTGCAACCCTTTCCTAAGCAGCTTTAGACAAAATAAAGGTATATCATATAAAAACATCCATGTTCAGTAAAATTAATAAACATTTTAAAAAATATATCAATAAGTAAAGTAAATGATTAAAAGTAGTTTTCTGTACTTCACCGATAGACTACTGCAGTGATATGTGGTTACAGGGCTCAAATACTCCTTACCCACTGGCCAGAAAACCTGTTTAAATGTTTAAACCCGGGAACAATCAGTTTTTAGAGGCAGTGGGAACAGCTCGCTACCCCGTAGGGAATCGGGTCAAATGACTCGGCAAGTGACCCAGGTTAAAAACACCTTCAAAAGACTTGGCTCTGATCGGCATACAGTTGGAACACCAGACCTGTGTTGACCTGCTAATTTACTTGATACGATAGAATGCAACATACGAACGTCAACACACCACGCCAGTCTTGTCTGATCTAGCGAACCAAAACAACGCTGTTTACGTTCAGATAAAAGAGCAAAGCAATGAAGAATATTTACTAATTACTCACTTCCATGTTGCTCTCCAATGTTTACTTTCCTGATTCTGTCGCACTGGTGACATCATCAACGCTAACCCAGCATGATGGTGTCACCACACACTTAGCAGTAGGAGGACAGAGACCATGCAGTTTGTCAGAGGCGGGGCTTAGACCCAGCTTTTTTGTCAATGGTTAGGGAGCTAAACGCTGATTGTTAGCGGCTCAACTCATGTTTGAAAAACCCACGTTAACCCGCTAATTTCAGAGGGAAGGAGGCTCAAGTCACATCCACCACATGGATGCTCAATCATTTTGGCCTAATGAAGATTATATAAAAGGGTATAAATAACTTAATCTGAATGAAATAAAAGGCATTAACCACAATCTATAGAAATAGGGTGTGGGCTGTATGGCGTCTTCATAAATGGATATGCAGTGAAATAAAACAATATGTGTTTTTGATCTTACTTATAACTTGTCAAATTATACACTGTATAAACACGAACTTTAAGGGCATAATTAAATAGCCCTAAATTCAGCAGTACCCAAGAAAAAGAGAACCAAGAAAAGAAGCTTACCTTTCTTGTTTCTAATCCTTGATTTGTCACCACAAAGGACCCCCCCACCCATCCACTCTGCAGGAGGTGGAACGCTCCAGCACTTCACGTTTTCCCTTCCTAAGAAAAATCAAGACAAAAAAAAAAAATCAAAACATCAATCATGGCTGAATTATTCAACAATTTCCAAACACTAGATTAGCAAATTTGCATTTTTCTTCCTTATAAATCAAGTCCACTCTATGACTTCACTTCTTACAAATTTCTTTGGGTTTTGAGAGGCTTCTATCTGTGCCTGCGAGGCTCTTCTAGCCTGTATGGACAAGGTCCTTCACGCTCTTGTGCCCATAAAGGACGAATCACAAGCAACAGTGGCTGATGCTTCACATCATCAGCATGCCATCATAAACATCGAACATGACACTGCAATGTCACTGTTCTAATTTTCTAGTTGCCATAAATACCTAATAAAGCCAGTGATAATGAGTGCTATGGATTAGTTGTTTTCTTTTGCCATTAAAAACCACAAAATTCATATAAATTTTCAAACAGCTGGTAATGATTTCACCTCTTAGCTAATACTGCATGTTATAAAAGTTGAATTTATTGGCGCAAATTTGAAATACAACCCTGAAAATTTGATATCAACCCTCCTTTACTCTTTTGAATGTTTCATTTGACATACAGTGTATTAATAACTATTCTGTAACCTTCCAATAAATCATATTTATCACAAAGTGACATGGAATTACATAATTTGTCATTCCAAAAGAATCAGATGGACCTTTCAGAGAAAGTCAGGACTAAATGGAATAAAATGGAAACAGGAAGTGACCATGGGGTCAGAATAAAATAATGGTGAGAGGGAAAAACACCATAATATTAATCATCTTATAAAAAAAAGTGGATAAATAAATAAAATAATTCTGTCAACAACAGGATAAGCAAGCAAAAACTAAGATGAATTAGGGGATGTAGACCAAAACTTTCACAACCTCCATGTGGTGCCTCCATGGACCCCCTAGGGGTTGTGGACCCCCTGTTGAAGACCTCTACATTAAACCATAAACTCAAATAAACAGCATGATATTATTCACATACCACTGTGTAAAATTTCAATATTAACAAACTTTTGTATTTCAAATATACAAAGTTTTTCTTTAAGATTTTTTTGAAAGGTTTTTAAATTTTATTTCAGTGAGATAAAATTTAATATGTATATGGTGCTTGATCTGACTTTCTGACGGGCTGCTTAGGCAACACTTTTTGTCAGTCCTCTGCTCTGCAATTAAAAAACAATGTTAGCCATTTGTATCCAGAGCCAAGTTTCCTCTGGTTGGGTTGAAATCATAAGTTTAATGTTACAAATATAACTGTTTAAACAAGAAGGTGTAGTTTCACATTGGGCAACAGAGGGCTGTACCCTTTCACTTTGTGTTTTCTTTTTAATCCCATGTCCTTATGACTGCAAGATTTTTCAAACTGCAGTTCTCTACTGCTGAAAGTGTTCTCTGAAAAGAGAAAGTAAAGGAGTAGTGGCGGGCTGAATGGGTCGACAGCGAGGGTGGGGGGTGGAGGGTTTGACGCTGTGTGCCTCCTTTTTAAAGCCAGATTCTCCCCAGATACCTCTGTGCTATTCATCAACAGCTTTTCCAGGGCTGTGAAAAATCAATGTGCTCTGCACTGCAAACAGTTCATAATGATGGGGGATGGAGGAAAAAAAGTCCAACTGCAACAGAATTGATTTGTTTAAGTACAATAACACGGCTCTCTAGTGCAGTGAGAGGAAGGCAAGAGCACCCAGACAAAGACTGACTGGCAGTATCAAACTCCAAGCAATAATTGGCAAACTGCTGGCAAAGAGCAAATCTGAAATACAGAGCTCTGTTATCTAATTAAAGGAGTTTTTCTTTAAATTGCAATGGAAAGAAAAAAAACAAACCCACTGAATTGCAAATGTGTAACTGTTCGGGATATTATTTTTCACCTTTTTTGTGTCTTCTATGCATGAAAGTACAAGCTCTAAAGTGGCAATTGTATGAGTGTTTGTAGAAACAGCAAGAAAAATCAGAGATAATGAACTCAAACATGGACCTTTTTTTAAAGGCTGCTATCAAAAAATTTTTTTTCCCTTTTTTTCTTATTATAGATGCACCGAGATCTCGAGTCGAACCACTTTCAACTTGACTTAGACCACCCTAAGGATGATTTATAAAGCTGCTCTGAGAAATTGGAGGAAAACTGGCTTAATCGGCACTGATTATTGACTAGCAGGATGGAAACTCAAATATTTGCTTGTTGATTGAATGGCCAACACTAAGACAAAAAAACAACACTTTTTCACACCTAGGGGTCATTTCTAGAGATGCGTTAAGAAATATGCTGTCACTGGAATCTGACGATTTGTAGCTTAACCGACTCTGACTGCAAACTAGCTGCTTTTAAAGACGCTTTAAACTTCTCAATATTAGAGTATGTTACAGTGGTAAAATAATACTGATAATAGTAAACACTTGAGCTCAATGTTTAGAAAATATTTTTAATAATTATTTAAATACACACCAACACAAACTGCAAATTGCTAAAAATGGTACAAACGGGTTTACAGTGTAAAAAAACAAAATAAACTGTTGGCAAAAAAGTTGGGATCAGTTTTTATTCTTTCATATATATTCAGTTGTTCTTTACTTGTAAACAACCATTCACGCTCGCACACACGCACGTAAGGAGAACTTAGAGAAGCCAATTAACCTAATAGTCATGGTTTTGGAATGTGGGAGGAAGCCACGCATGTACAGGAGAACATGTAAACTCCATGCAGAAAAACCCGGGGCCATGATTCAAACCCGGAACCTTCTTGCTGCAAAGCAGCAGTGCTACCCACTGTGCCACTGAGCAGCCCCTATTTTGAAAATAAGAAAAACTATTAGGGAATTCTTTCAGCCAGCCTATGCAACAGGTAAGCTGGAAGAACTGCTGTGTCCTACTACGCTGCTTTACAAAAAAAAAATAAATCCTTAACATGCATCACATTAAAAGGACCTAAAACCAACTTGATTCTTGCAACTGTTCGTTGCAAACTTAAATTTAGTTATGAAAACATTTTTTTCCAATGTAGTCATTACCTCCAAAGTCCATATAGGAATTGTAAACATTTGGAGAAAGTTAAATAAACTAAATGTTTTATCACACAAGGTTCATATAAGGAAAAAAGCTAAGCGCAGAGGCTTGAAGTAAATTGTGTCAAGGCATTTCAGCACAGTAAACATTCCTGCCTGCCTCTTTTATGCCAGCTACATAGATGCATTTGTCATTGTTATTACGCCTTCAGAGAGGCCCTCCCAGGTTTAATTGGGTCCTCATGGAGTCAAAATCCCTTCTGTTGCAGCAGCCACCCGAGCAGGACAAGCTCACACCTCTTTGGCCAACAGCAGCTTTTACTGGCTGCTTGTTGCTCTGTGCAAAGTGGCCCCAAATCCAACCATTGGGCCCAGAGAGAGGCAATGAGAAATGGACATATTCCCTCAAAGCCTGGATAATGGCATAAGAGGGATACCTGGACAGAAACTCTACCTGGCTCTGCTTTCAGCACTGTGGGAAAAGCTCTCTAAAGCCACGGGAGCCACTATACCCAGAAAACTCCATTTGCATTTTGACAGGCAAATACAGTTGTATTTGAAAGCAATAGGACATGAAGCATGTGCACAAAGTGTGCTTCACGAGGATGAGTGAGAGACCTTTCCAACTCCATTAAGAAAAAGGAAAAAAAAGAACAAAAAATGAAAATTGTTAAAGGAGCTAGTGAGGTAAAGAAAACAGAACCAAAAGAACATATTTATCATCAACATCAACCATCATCAGTATCAGTTCTGGTTTTTAAAATTGTGACCCTTTTCACCTTTAACAGTTGTGTTCCTCTTCTAAAAACAGTTTCCTGTAGTTCTGCAGATCAGGACATGTAAAAACCAAGCAAAATAAACAAACCAGCTTCGCACAAGTATCAACAACCTTGTCCTCTAAAGAGACGGGGGTAGCATAACAAATAAAAGGACAATAAAGTTCTTCTATTAGACAGATAAGCAATGATCAAACAAAAATACTCTTATTTTACATATGGAATTTTCCCATATAAAAATAAGGATTTCACATAAAAAAAAAAAAAAAAAAAGTTAGATTTTTATCGTATATGTGTAGGAATGTGTTGTTTTCAGAAGCAGTGATCCTCAACAATCTGACCCAAGATAAATAACGACATCACAACTACTGTTATAGTGGCTATGTTTACTAGTCATGAAAATGGCTATTAAAACGAAATTTGTCATCATAGTGGCATCTATGATGACTTGCATGTTTTTTATTGCCGTCAAAAAGGCGGGGAAATGTATAAAACATTGGTAAATATTAGTTGTCGGCCATAACAGCTGTATTAATATGACATATCACTCTAACTGAAATGTTTATAATTGTGAATACCTAATCTTTAGTATTTCTTCAGATGAAGTTAAATGATGCAGAGATGTCAAAGGTTATTCAAAGCAATATATGTTTACATTTTGTGGAAAAATACCAGCTACTTGTCCAGGCTGGAGGAAAATGAGAGAAAACAAGACTTTGAGCAGATAGCAGGAAGGTTAAACATACAGCAACAATTTTACTCTTATTTTTTTATTTGATCTTGCTCCATCATCATGCTCCAGGAAATATAAACACCAAGAGATTAATATTTTAGTAATAATAGCCTCCCTAATTGCTAACAAAAATACAACAGACAGTTTTAAATGTCAATCCGTTATAATTTAGCTATTTTTTCATTACCAAATACTATTTAAAAGCAATTCTTCTTTTATATAAACGGTGTAACACTATTTCTGTATACTTAACTGCTACCAGCCTGTAAGTTATTACAGGTAAAAGAAGACACAAAGTTAGCCTTTTAAGTATCGAAATGTGTAAAGAGTTTTGAAGTTCATGGTATAATAACATACAAATTTAAAGGAAAAAATTCCTGATGGACTTTGGACTTAATATAGATTTTGTACTGCAGCTGATAAAATACACCCAACTTGTTAAAAATACTGTTAAATATCTCTTTAGCACTTACAGGACAGTAAGAAACAGCT